ACAGACTCGGAGTTCGCCGGGAAGCTGGGCCGTCACTGCTCTAACCGACCTGGACGTGCTGACAACCGCCACCATCGTGCCATCGAGGACGGTCCCGTGGTCGCGCAGACGGCCTACTACCCGCAAGCGCTGTGTGAGGCCTGGGCGAAACACATCCTGAAGAAGAACGACAGCGTGCAGTTCGGCATGGAGATCTTCACGAGTCTTGAGCAGATCCCAGAGGAAGACGACACCGAGATGCCAGACGCCGGGGGCGACCCAGAGGACATCGAGATGGAGGACGCCGCGACGACGCTCAAGGGCTTGGGCCTCGACAGCGACCTCTCCAGAAAGGAGACGCTCGAGATCGAACAACGGCTCTCTCGACTTCACCGCAACCTCGGACATCCCAGCAACAGGGCGCTCTACAAGATCCTGAAGGCATCAGGAGCACCGACCCAGGTCCTCAAGTTAGCCCTGGAGTTCAAGTGTCACGGCTGTCATGTTGGGGAACTACCTAAGGCTGTTCGAGTGGCCTCGGGGGTGGAGATCCCTGGGGTGCTTGAAGCACTGGCATCGGATGGTCTCGAGTGGCTCTCCCGACCAGACCTCACACTTCATGGCGCTGAACCTGGACGAAGGCTCTGGACTCACCAGCGTCACGTATCACGGCAAGAAGGGCGACCGGAGCAGCAACCGCACAGCCAAGGAGGTGATCAGCACTTGGGAGTCGTGGTGTAATCACTATCGCCGACCTTCTCTCCTACGTCTGGACGCCGAGGGCTGCCGCTGCTCTCAAGCCGTGGCCAAGTGGACATCGGACAACGGCATCGAGATGTGGATCGCACCTGGTGAAGCTCACTGGCTGATGGGCAAGGTCGAGAGAAGGATCCAGCTGTTCAAGCGCCTGATGACCTAGATGGCCCACCACGATCCAGAGTGCTCAGCCGACGAACTGGTATCCTGGGCGGTCAGCGCCATCAGCTCCATGGACAAGGTCGGGAACCACTCCCCCTTCGAACACGTACTGGGAGTGTCGGGGATGTCTGCCTCGAACAACCCGTTCGCGATCATTGACGACGACTCTGGGGGGGCCCAGGAGCAGAGACGGCTCCTCGCACGCAAGAGCTACCTGGAGTGCGAATATGCTGAGCGACGACGACATGCTGAGAACGCCCGGAACCGTGTCTACCAGCTGTGGAACCCAGGGGACTTGGTCTACTTCTGGCGACACGGCAAAGGACGTGAGCACCGAACTGGGAAGAAAGGAGGCTGGTATGGACCCGCTCGAATACTTGTTCGAGAGAAGCGTCACGTGGACGGCAAGGCCCGGGTGACATCCGTGGTCTGGATCTCACATGGCGATGCGCTCATTCGCTGTGCCCCCGAACAACTCCGAGCCGCATCGGAAGCTGAGAAGATGATCAACGAGCTGCAGAAGCAAGCCAACCTTGGGAAGACGATGACGGAGATTCTGGAGACCGCCGAGTCGGGGACGTTCGAGGACCTTCTTGACCATCAGCGCCCAGGACTCCGAGAATGCGAACCTGACGATAGACAGGACGAACCAGCTTCAGGAGAACCTGCCGCACTACCACCTTCAGCGGACACCGAGGCGAACGACGCGCCCGCCGCGTCACAGGCGACGACGCCGCGATCTTTAGCTCAGCCTGAAGCCGAACCTGCAGCTCCACCGGAGGAAGGGCAACCCACAGTTCCTGCTGAAGCACCTCTTGCCGAAGAGCCGCCTGCTCCACCTCCTGGTGAACCAGGGCCCACGGCGCCAGCAGCACGAGCAGCATCTGTTCCACCGAGACCGAGCGGGGCATCTTCATCATCAAGGGCATCGTCAGCACAAACACGACCTCGCTATCGACTGGCCCACCGCGGCCCGGAGCTCGACCTGCACCGACCACCCGAGAAGCGGCAGAAGGGGAACGACACCAATGATGACATGGACCTCTACGTGGACCTGCACAAGGACAAGTTGGACATCGTTCTCGGCAGCGACGAGCTCCAGACGGTCTACTTCGAATACCTCTGCGAGGGGAACGGCAAGAAGGTCACCAAGACGATTGCGGCTCCGAACATGGCCGATAGCTTCCTGACCAACCAGCGCCGCAAGGACAAAGTCGAGCTGACCTGGTCCAAGATGAACGCCGAGGAACGGAAGGAGTTCGAGGTGGCCACCGCGAAGGAGGTCGGCAACTGGCAACAACATCAAGGACTACGACCCGTGCCAGCCGAACGAATACAGGATGCTGCAGATGTCAGTCGAGCACGCTGGCTCTTCACAAGAAAGTCGGACGGGAAGGCTAAGGCGCGGCTCGTCCTCCTCGGCTACCAGACGAAGGACCTCGGGAAGGGGCCCACTGCCAGTCCAACGGCCTCCCGGCGGGCTCGCAACATCATGCTAACCATGGCCGCCGCGAACCGCTGGAAGTTGATCGAAGGCGACGTGACATCGGCATTTCTTCAGGCGAACCAGCTCGAGAAGGACCTCTTCATTGAACCCGATCCTGTGCTACGACGCGCATTCAACGTCGAGGAAGGCGAGGTGCTCAAGGTCATGAAGCCAGGATACGGCATCGGCGAAGCTCCTCGTCACTGGTGGGAAACCGTGAAGGTCGATTTCGCAAATTTGGGGCTTCAAGCGTGCGAGCTGGAACCCTGTCTATGGCAAGTTCGGTGTCCGAGGACTTCTCGTCTCATTGGGTTGGCCATGGCTCATGTGGGCGACTTCGCCCTGGCTGGTGACAACAGCCACAGTCTCTGGACGAGCATCGTCGATCATATTCGCAATCTCTACAAGTGGGGCACCTGGGAGGACATGAACGACGACTCCATCAAGAGCCTCGAGCAGTGCGGTGTCACCATCGAGGAGAACGACCAGGGCTTCTTTCTTAATCAGCACGCCTACGTGGACAAGGTTCGAGAAGTGCAACCAGCTGATGGAGGCCGCCACCGTTCGACGGACACCCTGCGCGAGAGCGACCAGACCATCCTGCGGGCCTTCTGTGGAGAGGTCTACTGGTTGGGCGTGAACACCATGCCCTTCGTGTTGTCGTGGGTGGCCGAGCTACAGTCCAAGATCCCAGGCGGGGCCCACAACTTGTTCAGCGCGGCTAATAGCATCGTGAAGATGATTAAGCAGCACCAGCACATGGGCCTCCAAATCTACAGGCACAACCTCGACGACCTTGCCGTGTTCACCTGGTGCGATGCAGCCTGGGCCAGTCGGCCCGACGGTCACTCTCAAGGAGGACATCTGACGGCGATCGCTACTACAAAGGCCATCGAGGGCGAGAAGGCGAAGTTCACAGTGCTCGACTGGGGCCCCAAGAAACTCCGACGCGTGGCCCGTTCGAGTTTGGCTGCCGAAGTTCAAGAAGCTGGAGATGCTGAAGGAGAACAATGCATGGAACGGATGGTCCTGTCGGAGCTGCTGTACAACCGCTCGCCGACGCAGGAGCGGGCCACCCTCCTGAAGGCCATCCCTGCGGTGCTCGCGACGGACTGCAAGGCGTTCTACGACGGCGTGGTGCGGTCCCAGTCGGCTGGACTGGGCCTGGAGGAGCGCCGGACCGCCATCGAGGCGCTGGCACTTCGGAACGCGCTCGACGACGGCCACACCGTGGTCAGGTGGGTCCACTCGCACGCGCAGATCGCGGACGGGCTCACCAAGGGCAACTGGCAGGAGTTCGGGGTGCTGAAGATGTTCCTCGAGAAGCAGGAATGGCGGCTGGTCTACGACGAGCACTTCATGAGCGCGCGGAAGCGCGCGGCGCTGGGCAAGGGCATCTTCGAGCCGACGGCGCCCGGCGACGCCCAGTCGGCCAAGGAGGTCATCGAGAAGCGACGCCAGTTTCGACAACAGCAACAGCGCGGACTACCACCAGCTGGACCAGCACCAGAGAGTACGACCGTCGCTCGGCCTCCAGAAGAGACCTTCGTGAATGAGACCTGCTCCTGTTATTGTTCAGTTTCGGGCCAGCAGGGCCCCAGGCACACTGCAACTTCTTTTCCCCCTGTCTGAATGTGATAGGGGTATCACATGTTGCTAGCAATTGTATCGAGTCTGTTTCGTGTGTTTCATTCTCACTCGCTGCTACCGTTATCATTGCAGTGTGCCGCCGCCACCTCGGATCAGGCGAGGGTGGGCGGGATTCCTTTCTGGATGAACCTGCGAGTTCGCAGGCAGTGGCGCGCTCAGGAGACGTGCCAGGAAAGAGTGCGAGGGCAGCGGGTGCCCTCTTCATTTCACTGATTGTGTTCTGACAGTCAAGCGTCAAGATTCTTGACATATTGACGATCCTGTGTTTGGAGGAGCTCGAGGCCCGGGACTTCCTAGTCGTGGACCTCTTTCGGGCTCCTTGGGATTCAGAGTACCCCCCCGACAGGGGTCAACCTCGCCTCGTCGTCACGCCGCGAGGGGGGTCGGAGCGCCTTCGGGTGGCTGCCCGCGACGGGGGTCCATGCAGGGCTGTCGGCGGGGGTGACGCCCCCCCGACGCTTATTTAGAAACTCGTGGTAGAGAACCTGGGCGGCCCGAATCGGGCCTGCGTGCCCAGGGCGAGCGTGTGGGGTGCCTGGGCGTGCGTGAGAAGTGCACGCTGGCATACTCTTGAGCATGCCTGACCGAGTTTAGAGTGGTCGTCTAGGGTATGGCCGTCTTGTGCATGGTCGTTTTGGGCACGCCTACGCGAGTTTCGAGTTTTGGTGCGCCTCAGGGAATCCCGGCATTCCTATAGGCCTACCACGAAATCGTCCTAGAACCCA